CCAAAATATGATAGTCAGAGCTTAGTCATTACAGTAATACTTCGGATGAAAATCTGGCCTTGTTTTGTTTTGTGATCCGTTATATCCTTAAAGGTCTTCTACAACACCAAAATTCAAATGTGTCAGGACCCACTTCAATACCTTATCCCAAGAAAGCAGAACTCATGGAAGCAAGCTCTTCCAAAAGGAACTTTTATTAGGAGAAGCTGATAGCAGGCATACTAGACAGGATCTGAGGGGCTCCTGTACAGATCGATAGGTTAAAGTCACCCCAAGCAAACCCCACCCCATAGTTCATCCGGACGGTTCAAACCGGCCAATCCCCAGGTTTTAAGTCCATCGTGGGAAAGGGGAGATAACATCAGGCCGGCTCTGGTCGGTGCAGCGATGTTTAGATAACTCTTCACACCTTCTCCTGAGAGCGGAGAGATAAGCCATTTTCCGGAGGTTGTATTTCTTTCTTCCTCCCCCTTTGCTAGCTGACAGTTTAGGGAGAAGAAAGTACCGAGAGAAATAGTGTAGGAAAGCGAAGTGTTACATTGTAGCAATAGAGAAAGAATACAGGAAAGCAAAGTGTTACATTGTAGCGATAGAGGAAGCTAAGGCAATAAACCCGCGATCCTTCCCCCCTCCCCTCTAGGAGTATGGCAGAACCCAGGGAGAGAAGAGAATGGAATTTGGGAGAGAGAAAGAGAGCAAGGGAAGTATGAAATCAGATAGATATGGGTTCTGACAAAATGTTTTGAAGTTTTTTCATTTCTGCTTCTTCCAGATCAAACTGTTGCAGCTATAGAGTTACAGGAAAAATCATTGCCGCAACAATTATAATTTTTTTTAGTGTAGACCAGGGGTGTCAAACTCAATTTCATTGAGGGCCACATCAGCATTGCAGTTGCCCTCGGGGGCCGGGTGGGTGTGGCCAGGGTGGGTGCGGCCTACTGGGTGGGCGTGGATCGAGTGGGTGTGGCCTACTGGGTGGGCATGGCCAGCTCTACATTGTTTGCATCAAGGGGGCCTGTGGGGGCCTGGCCAGGAGTGGGACAGATCTGAGGGTCTCTGGCAGAAGGGGGTGGGACCGGGGCAAGTGCCAAGGCATGGTCCACTGGAGGAGCCTCACTGTTCCTCTCAGGCCATGCGGGGGGGGGCTGGATGGTGGTGTGGGCTGCAGCACCTGCAGCACCAAGCCTAGCCCCACTTCCCCAAGGGGGCACCCTGCTGCACTTACCTCCTCTTCAAGGCTGCTGTTGCTGTGCTTGCTGTCCTTAGTCAGGTTGCTGATGATGGGTACGAGGGCAAAATCAGAGGGAGACCCATTCCCTCTCCATGGGAGGAGACCATGGGCAGGACTAAGGCAGGACTTCCCTCACACCCTCCCTCTCCTTCTTTCCTTCTTTCCTTCCTAAGTACAGAGTGGTGGGAAAATATTTGAGATGAGGGAGGGAGAAAAACAGGCAAGAAACGCAGCTGGGGAGGTGTCACCCTTCGTGAGGAATGAAGAAATGCACCATCGCCTGGAAGTGGCCAGCCACATGGCCCTTACCTACTTCACATATCTGGCTTGGTGGGCTTTGGGGGAGGGGGTGCCATGAGCAGCGTGAGAGTCAACATTACCTGCGCAATGCCGCCCAGCCTCCAGCCCGGTCTCAGCAGGCAGCAGGGCGCTTTCCTTACAGCGCCAAGAGGCTGAACCGGGCAGCGCAAATTCAAAAAGAAGTGCAATGCCGCCCAGCCTCCAGCCTGCTCGATTTTGGCAGGCAGCAGGGCGCTCTCCTCACATTGCCGAGAGGTTGAGCCGGGCAGTGCGAAGCTCATCAGCTTTGCATCTTGCTGCCTGCTGAAACTGGGCAGGCTGGGGGCTAGGCGGCGTCTCGCTTCTTTTTGGATTTGCACCGCCCGGCTCAGCCTCTTGGCCCTGTGAGGAGAGCGCCCCGCTGCGTGCCGAAACCCCTCCCCCGAAGCCCATCAAGCCGGATATGTGAAGTAGGCGAGGGCCATTTGCTGGCCACTTACAGGCGATGGTGCATTTCTTCATTCCTCACAAAGCATGCACCCAGGGGGCGGGACCGATGCGGCAGGGGCTGGTTCCTCGCTGTTTCCAGATGGCCTTGTGGAGCTAAGACTGAATGCGTTTCAGCATAGATGGCCACCACAAAATTGTACATTGGCTCCCGGCCAGCCTGGGCCAGGGCCAAGGCAGCGGGGGCCGTTCCCTCACTGTTTCCAAGATGGCTTCGTGGGCCACATGAAACCACTTCATGGGCCACATCTGGCCCGCGGGCCTTGTGTTTGACATGTCTGGTGTAGACCAACACACATATTAGGTCATTTCAAACTTATGTTGATAAAATATCAAATCACATTTTTGTTAAAATAGCAAATGATTCTCATTAATCTCATTAAGGTTCTCATTAATGGGAGAATTACTGAAATGAATAGTACTTTGAGAAAGTGTGTTATAGTTTCATCTAAAGTCAACTCTAGTTTCTCCTAGGTCCACTAATTGAAAGAATTACCTGTCTCTAAATTGGAATAAAGTTAATAGTGTTAATATTTAGGTAGAGTTATTCCAGAAAGGAAATTAATTACATTTTTCTTCTGATTTGCATCAGATTCTTTTGTTTTTGCTGTTCTTGTCTGGGGCATTATGTAAAGGTTCTTTCTGTTTGCATTGTATTGAATCTTCCTTTTTCTAACTCTTTTGAGTTTCCAGTTTAAATGTTTTGCATGTCTGTTCACTATTTATATCTCCCTTTTTACGTCTTTGCTATTGTTTGCCATAAAAGTATACAACTGTTATCTGTTTATATATGACTTGTCTTATATATAAATTTTTTATACAGCTTCTGTCTAGATAAGAAAGAATAACATTAACTATTTAAAAAATCCATGCAGTTAGTCCTTGACTTACTGTAGGACCAGTCGGTTACCAACATTCGAAGCTACAACGGACCTTCCCAGGCCTACTTATAACCCAGATTCGAAGTTCCAATGGCTGCCCATCCCTAGTCCCATGATCACATTTTGGGTGTTTGGCAACTGACCAGCATTTACAGCTGTTTGCATGAAATACGTGATTCTGTATTTATGACTTTTTTTGCTAGAAACCAGCATTTATTCCCAGTTTCTGGCAAACAATGCCCATTGATTTGCTTAATGACTGCAGCATTTACTTAACAAATCCATCAAAAAAGGTTGTAAAATCAGGTGTGGTCAGCACGATTTAAAACCATAATTCTGGGCTCAATTACAGTTGTAACTTAACAACTGCGGTGATTCATTAACAACTGTGGCTAGAAAGGTCGTGAAATGGGGCAAAAGTCACTTAACAGCTGTCTTGCTATCAGAAATGTTGGGCCTAATTGTGGTCATAAGTTGAGGATTACCTGTATTCACTTTTATTTGAAATTGCTATTTAGAAAAGTTCTATTGCAGGTATTTCAAACTGCCGGCCCACGGGCCGGATGCATCATACTGAAACCCCATCCACCCCATTGCTGGCAATGGGGAAAAAGTCGCGATACATCGCGCAATGTCATGTGACGTCGCGAGTTTGACATGTCTGTTCTATTGGGAAAAAGAGTCTTGGAGACTTGACAATCTACTAGTTAGATTGTTATTCATCATACTAGAATAATCAAGCTTCCTGGAATTTTACAGCCTAGTAGCTTTATTAAATCAGGAATTCAAAGTTCCTATAATATCTCTTGCTTAAAGGAATTATTTTTTATTATTACTTATACAGTGGTTAATTGATTAGTTTTTACATATGGTACATTCTGATTGTAATAAAACCAAAATTATGGTCTTTCCATACCTACCTTAACTAAGTATGCAACCTAACATACTTAGTTAATCCATGGAGAGCAGAGCAATGCCATCTCTTTAAACACTTATTTATGCATTTCCAGAAATTGTTATCCTGGATAGTACATCTTATTACAACTTTAATAACTGTAAGACACTAAATGGACATTAATGCTAAAGGTTTATCTCAGAGTAAGATTCAGTTAACTCTGTATTAAAAAATTTTCATGGCAAAGCAGTGTCACAGCTTTTATATGGGGCACAGATTTAGTTATGGATTGACAATACCGTTTACCCACATAGATATATCCCATAAATTACAATTTTTTAAAGAAAATCCTCTGTCTTCCATAGTTCATCCAGGCACACAATCTCTGCCAGAGGCATCTAAAAGTTCTAGCATATTTTAGGACAATTGCTAGCTTCCCATTATTTAATTTTGGTATAAACTTCCCTAGGAAAGGAAATTGGCTGGAAAACAATTGTTCACATTGAGTCTCCAATAAACTTATATGTCCAAACAATGCCCTCGCGTGAACTTTGAAGGCAGATTCCAGATACTGTCCGAAGAACAGAATCACTGCCATTTGTCAGAAATAGAGAGAGGACATTTAACATTCTCTCCTATATGCTCCATTTATGCTGTGATTTGGAATACTGTAAAACACAAGCCCCATTTAACAGGCTCTCAGGTTGAATGTTCCAAACTGTTTTGCTGACTGAATTGTTCCATTACATTAGATATCAAGTGGCCATTTCTATTTCCTTGTCTAATAACATTTGGAGGAAAGAGACACCTAGCAGAACTTTTTGACTTCTTGCCAATTATAATTTTAGAATTAGCCTTCCCTAATTTCTACTCACGTAAGTGTTGTAAACCCTGGGTAGATATCTAATGTGTTATAGTGTGTTTACTACAGCAAACTTTTACCTAAAGTTTATTTAAAGTAGCAGATAAGAAAAGCTCTGTGGAAGTATGTGTTAATGTCATATAACAGCTCGGATAACTTTGTTGTGTTGCATTTAATTTATTCTTCTAGCTGAAAACAGACTTCTCTGGCACTTGGAGAGTGAAATTGGTACCAGTTTTGTCTAAATAAAAAATGGCTGCTGTTAGTGGTTGGGGTAAAAGGGTCTATAAAACTGGCTGGCTGCCCACCCTGCAGCTTATCCGCCATGGCGCCAAATCTGTCACACCCCACTGGAAACCAATGCACATTGTGAAGGAAAAGCTTATGGCAGTGACCGAATATATCCCACCAAAACCTCTGACTTCAGAGACCTGTATGAAGCCCCCTGTCATTCTTCCTAAGGAAGAGACTGGCTATGAAAGACTCTTATTGCGCCAAGTGAAACAAATATTTCTTGAGAGTAAAATGATTGTTGTGTGCCAATACAATTATATTCCTGGAAATGATATGGTAACATTGAGGCATCGGCTGCGAAAGTATAATGTCCATGTCAGATTTTTCCCAATAAGATCATGACTCCCTTTCTTTTGGAATCTAAGTACAAGAATCTCCTTCCTCTCTTTGTGGAACGCAACCTTCTGCTTGTCAGTATGGAAACAAGGGCCCAGGAAACACTACAAATCCTGAAGCGTGTGCCACAGATTAACATGCTAGGAGCTTGCATTGACAATGTGATCCTAAGCAAACAAGGCTTTGTAAATTTTGCTAAGCTGCCATCCATAGTAACTGTCCAGGGGGAAACTGCAGGTTTGTTCTTGGTCATGACATACCATAGTAGCAGACTTCTGCACCGTGGCTCTGTTCATCTCTGTTCTTTGCTGGACCACTATGTTCAATAGTAAAATGAAACGGTTGAAGAAAAACCAGATGGGAACATCAGCTAAACTGGAAGCAGTTTAATTCTTCGATGTAAAAATTGCCATGTTTACTTCGTTGCATGCCCTTAGGTTGGTGGGAGGGGTTAGTGTGTTTGATAAAGTTCTGGGTATCAAACTACATGCAGAAAAATATACTGTCAGAGTTTAGTTATCTGGATGGGGATTATAATTATCAGGATCAATTAAGCTCTGCATTGCAGGTAGAATTTTTTTTTTATTTTATTTTTTTCCAAACTCTCCCCCATACATATACTGTGATATTTATCAGATATTAACATACATTCTTTTTACATTCTTATATATAAGATACTTTTAATGAAATATATACATGCACATAACTTTTGGTGTTGCTCGCCCATTTCCCCTTTTACTGCATCCCCACTCCTTCTTCTCTACCTTCTTTCTCCCTTCCTTCTCTTTCTT